AATTTTAAATTTATTGTCGCGGCTGATGCTGAAATTTGGACCTATTTTGATATGAAATTTTAAAATTTTTGGGGTGTGTTCTTTGAACTAGAATTTATAATTAAAGTGTATATATGGATTTTAGCAAGGCTTATTTTTTCCAAATTTCAGCATCAGCCGCGACATTTATTAACAAAATTTTAAATTTAATTAAGTTTTTCTATATTTTTATTGGTTAAATGTATTACACAGTAGCTAAACAATTGGATCTCTACCAGATGTTCAAAAGTTCCAATGCACAATCTTTTTTTTTAAGTGATCTTATATATAATTATTTATACAAATATTCAAATCATGATCTCAATATATGTTATCATACTTAAAAAATAGGGATCGTGTATAGGAACTTTTTGAATACCCGGTATATAACATGTTGACTTTAGATGAAATCCACTGTATTAAAATTTTACTTCTAATTTTAATGCAGGTTATATCAATTGCTAGTCACGTGATCTGAGCAGATGGAATATCTGAAAGTTTATATTCTAGATTATAAAATCCATAATTCACCATCTCACATAATGTTACAAAACTCAAAAACTTCAATACTAATTTACTAAACAATTATTCTAAGAATAGAGATGCTGGTAAATTAATTTTACCAATTCAAACACCAATTTTACCAATATCAGTGAAATTATTTTATCATTTTAGTTTACATCTTTACTAAAATGGGCAAAAAATAATAATGATAATTACCAGATATATTTATCATATAATTTAAGATTGTCCTAATTTTACATGTTTCTATTGTTGTTAACTAATTCTAGATTTTGGAACCGATTTATTTTTATATGCTTTTAGTATATGAAAATAAAACCGATTCAAGACTCTAGCTAATTATTCTAAACCACGAATAAATTATTTATCAGCGCAATGATCCAAAAATTGATTTTCTTTCATTTTTCTCAAAGTAATTGAAACTCTCACTTTTCGAACAATTCTCTCGTCTCCAACTATATCGATTTTAGTGGCTTCAATGCCATGTGCCCAATCATAACGAGCAGGTCCATTCATTGCAAGAACATCTCCGGGTCGAAGAATGACTGAAATTACTTCATTAGGATCCGTAGCTGTAGATGTATCTTTGAAAAATGATCCCATAAAAATTAGCAAAAATAATACATTATTTTTTATTTTAAATTGTTACCTGAATATCCCAGTTCTTTGTTTATTAGAGAAGCAGGACTGAATTTCATTGCACAAGATGAAAGTAGTGATATGACAACTATTCCATCCTCGAATCTTTAATTTAGAAATTTATTAAAAAAATGAAAGCAATTATTTTTGAAAAAAGGAGTTGAAATACTTATAAAAAGACCTATCAAGATCAACATGACTATTAATACCATCTCCAGCTTTGTATACATTTATAATGGACTAAGTGGATGTAAATTGTTTTATATTTATTTAATTCATTAAAAACAAATTTATACCATATAAAAATTTTTCGAAAAACGTATCCGGCTTTCTCCAGACTATTGTTCCATTATCGTTCCGGAAAGTGCTCATGTTTCGGAACATATATCAATTCTTGGTTATTTCCATAGAATCCGGGTAGAAATCAAATCCGGATAAGATTCGACTTCTAATTATAATGAAGTATATACAAAAGATTAGAAGCCAAATCTTACCCAGATTTGATTTCTACTCGAAAATTACCGGGATTCTATGGAAATGACCAGGAATTTGTATATGTTTTGTTCCGAAAAATGAGCATCTTTCGGAACGATAATGGAACTATAATCCGGAAAATTTTTTATAGGGATACATTCAGACCTCCATAAATACATTCCCCCAGGACCATAATAATAAAAAAAAAATTTTTGAAATGTGCATTTATAGAGAGCAAAATATATAGAACTCTTATGAGATGGGACCAAGTTATACTGTACATTCAGAGTGAATTTATATAGAGCGTGCATTTATAGAATGTGCATTTATGGAGGTCTGACTTTAAATAACTGTTTTGTCGGTAAATACATACCTGGTCAAATAAAGGCTTTCTATTCTTTATTTCATCCGGAAAAATGGAAGGTATATTTTCAATAATATCAACAACTCGCATAATAAAAGATGGAAGTATACCAAAACACATTGCTTGATTTGATTCCGGTCTCTCAAAATAGCCTTCATTAATAATTGCATCAACAAGCCTATTTTGTTGCTCTTGAGTTAACAAATTCTTATAAAGGAACAACCCTGGTATCGAGGGAAATACAGTTTTTTGAGGTTCAGATGTCAATTGTGAACCATTTTCATGACTTTCTTCCCCATTTATCATGTTATCTATTTCTAGTTCACTATCTGAAAAATGGTCAAGACCAAAAAGTTCTTCATCCAGTAGTTCATCCATTTTACGAAAATGAAAATGACGATACTTCTTTGGGTTGTGATTTCCTAATTATTTCATATTGGGTTACATCGCACAAACGCTAATATCATTCTACTGTATAAAATGCTCACGTGAAGAGAAATCCACCTTTATATAATAATATAATGATTATCGTTATCAATTTTTTTCCTGCATTTACTGTTAGAATGTTTACACTTAATGTTACAAATTTGTTCAAATTATCAGGCCTTAGACTTGATCAATTGAATTTTTCGCGACATATATCTTCCAATAGATCACTTCGAAATATAATAAATAATGATTCTGCACCTATTATATCTGCTAAGAAAAAGCCAATATTTATCACAACACCAATGTTTACACTTCATTCCGGTAGGATTCATTATTACTATTTTATTTAAATCATTAGCTTTATTTTCTGTGATGTTTTTTTTTTTGAATCTTTTAGATACGATTATTAGTTCCTTATATACAGTAATTGTAGCAGATG